GTGGATTTTCTGGGACATGTAAAAAATATTAAAATTACACAAAATATTTTACTGTGAAGGCGCCCTCTCGAATCTCCAAGAGGTCCAGGTTCCAGAGGTTCAGGTTCCAGAGGTTCAATCGGTCCTCGAAACGGTTTTTCGAGGACCGATTGGATGTAGTAACTTCGACGAGGACCCCATTGTAGTGGCAAACGTTGTAACCAAAACGTTGTAACGTTGTAACGTTCCCGTTATCCCGGCAGATCGGCTCCTTCACCTCCGACGAGGCCCTCGCCGAGAGAAACAGGACAACGACTTGCGAAAAGTGCAGAAGAAACCGCGACATGGCGAGAGAGTTCGAATGAGTCGACGCGCCTAACCGAGTGACACGAAGGCTGAGTTTCTACTGAGCGCGTCACGCGTCGCGTTATCCGAATTAATCAATCAAAATATCCCATTTTGTAACATTCTTTGTAATGTAATAAAATTGGACGTTTTGATTGGATAATGCGACGCGTGACGCGCTCAGTGGAAACTCAGCCGGATGCAACTGCAATTACGGGTTTTGTATCTCGTAGAGAGTTAAGGTCAATTCAGACACAGCCGTGCCGTATCCGTACCGCGCACGGAACAGAAACATTAGACAAGGATTCCTATTGTCTCCATCCTTGTCTAATGTTAACGATACGGATACGGTACGGGTACGGGTACGGCACGGCTGTGTCTGAATCGACCCTTAGTGATTAAATAGTGCAGCGTGACTTTTGGCACTGATTATCGTCACTTGCTGAGAAACTAGCGCGACTGCATTCTCGAAAGCGGAGTCGATTACGAAATGTCGAAGACGTTGAAAAAATAGGACGTGCATAGTTTTGATTCACGGACGATGACGATAATGATAATGCAAAAATAATTTTCTCGTGTTATTAAATGCTATATTTGACGTTTTCCCTAATCGACCTATACCGATCGAGCGGCTTTATCGGACGAAATTGCAGGGCGCGAATCATCACTAATTGCGCAATCTGGCGCTAGCTTTAATCGTACGAGCAATTGAAGAGTCGCGAGACTTCGTGGGAGGAGCAGATCAACTGGCTGACCAAACGCGATATCGTTACGGACAATTCACTTATTCGCCACATTAGCACGGTCCATTGAGTTTCAAATAATATTATAACATCGAATAGGATAACGCATGAAGTTGTGATTAAAAGATTTATTTATTTTTTTTTATGCCGCGAAGGAATTCATGATAAGGGGACCAACCCTTGAATTTTTAAATTTTTAATATCTTACTGTACACCCCATTCATTAATATAAAGTACAGTAACTCTGTCTAGTGCGCAACAGTTTATCGAATATTAATGTGTAAAACTTTTCGTGTCGGTAACTGTTTATACGCACGACAAAAAAAATACATTCCATAGCAATTAATCTTCGGGGTCGGACCTTTCAATTTGTGCACTATCAATATGATCACAATATGTACACGTTTTTTGAATGGTATCTATCAAAGAAATATTTAAAACACATTACTAATTTGCATCAAATGAGTTTTATGAATGCTACTTCCTTGTATAAGCATGGTCCATTTTTTATTGAGATATAAAAAAAACAACATATCAAAAATTTTACAAAATTTAAGGGATCAAGTATTGTTCCTTTATGAGATATAAACAGATCCCTAGGACGTCGTCCTGACAATGACTTCAGGACGGTCGCTGAACTCCTTGTCGATTTCGGTGAAGT